CCTGATACTGCAGAAAGTAAAATAAAATGATCCTCAATGTGGGGGACTCAAGGAAAAAAAGAGAGAAGCCCAGGAGACCAGCAATGAGACCTGAGATCTCTTCAGGGTTCTCCAGCTAGTGCTCCCCAGTGATAAAATTGGGGAGAAAGTGTGAGAAGTACATGCGGTGGAGGGAGGCAGACGGAGACTTACAGAGGTAACTTTGCCATTGCGTTTCAACTCGCCACAGAAACTGTAGGATTTACTTTAAGAGGGAGTGAGGCTCAGAAAGGCCATTCTGCAGAGGGTGTGGAATAGCCTGGAGTCCTTGGGAGCAGTCTTCTTTGGTGCATCCTGTTCTGTCTATTCTGTAACATTCCTCATTAGCCTTAAGAGGACAAATGCTCTTTTTTTAACAGTTTAGTCCCCAGCAAGGGCTCTGGGATATGCTGGGCTGGGGGCGGGGTGGGGGTAGGGCATTGTGATATGTGCAAATTGCAACAGAGAAAGCCCATTCCTCAGGACTTGTGAGTCCCTCAGTCAACTGGATGAGAAACTAAGGAGAGAAGATAAAATAGGATTTTACCCCCTCCCCAAGAGGGATTATATGAGATTTTTGTAGCCAAGAAGAGTGAATTTATCTGTGATTTCTTACAAAACACTCCTACAGAAGTGAGGAAAGATCCAGAAAATACTGACTTAATCAGCACTGTACCCCAGAGGCTGGGAAGGAACATTTAAAATTAGATTTCCTGTCTTCTTTCCTTATATTTATTTGTTCAATAACAGAAGCTTTTTAATTAGCATAGTGGATATTGCAATTATTCTTAATTTATGAAATGAGTAACATCTTATTAATATGTGACTGGTGAGAAATGCAGCACATATATTTGCACCTTTACATGAGGATGAGACTAAAGTATAATAAGAATATAATCCATGGTCTTACTCGTCAACTCCTAGGTTCATATGATCGATCATCTTGCCTCAGCCTCTTAAGCGGCTGGGACCACAGGTGTGCACCAATCTGATGCGAAATAATAAAGAATTCTAAATCCCAGAAGCCTGTGCTCTGAAGAGTGGCTCTCAGACTTTCAAATTCCATTGCCTCTTTGTTCAGCCACTCATTGAGAATGCTGTTGACTGATCCAGCTAGACAGTAGAATGAACCAAGGTTCAATCATTACTGTAACTTCATTACAGGTGGATATTGCCATATTGCTGTTGGGTGAACCCTCCATATGGGGCACTTCCAAAGACCCTAAGAGGCTACAAAGTGAGGGCCTTTTCAGACTCACATAGCAGTTTGTCTGTCTATAAGTGTACTTGCTAGTCACCATTTGCATGCGTCTCTTCTCCTCATTCAGATGAAGTTCTTTTTCTTTGTATCAAATCCTGCCTAGAACACTGGTTGTGAGTATGAAGAGAGAATCTATGTATTACCTTGACTGGCTTCTAACTATCGGAAGCTTTTAGTTACTCCAGAAAAGAGAGCAATGGTTGTGATATCCCTATTTTCTTAGTTTTATTTGAGCACAGGAAATGGGGCCAATGCTGTGTGGTGACTATTCTTGGCTCTATTGCCTGTCCGTGTCCATTGTATTGATGAGATGGGGACTCTGAGAAAGATTTTAGCCCTGCATCCTTGACAGCTTGCCTCTGCTGGAGGGATGCTTGGTGGCAGCACCATTAGCTGGGGGCCTGAGTGTTGAGAAGGGCCAGAGCAGCTGCAGGGAGGTGCATCAAAGTGCTATCCTGCCACAGGAGACCAGTCCCCCTGACATGTTGCTACCTAACGTGCATATGAATATTTTGGATGTTTCCAGAAATAACAGTAATCGTTGAGCAATCCACGAGACAACTACATACAAAGGAAACTCTTATATGAGACTGTGTTTATACTTAATGATGATCACAGAAAATTGAAAAAAAGGAGGGAACCTACATTAGGAGGTGTGGAAAGATGTCACTGCAGAAAAACCCCAAGGAACCATCTTCTCAGAACTAGGGTTATGAGACCAGAATGGTGCCCACTTTCCTGGTAGGAAGTGGAAAGAGAACCAGGAAGGGTCTGATGGCCTCCTTCTGCGGCATGTTGACAGAGACAAACCTGTCTACTCCAGTTCACCCTGGGAGAGGGACAAAAGAGGACAGGAGTTGACTGGCCTTCAGCCCCTAGTGGCAGATCCTTGACACTGCACACTGAGAACTTATTTCTGAGGAGAATTGGGTTCATAAACACTGATGTGGTGAGTGGATGCGGCTTCCTTCCTGTGGGGAACAAGTCCAGTGCTGCACATGAAGGTTCAGGCAGGAGAGACTGGGTTCAAGAAGGGAGTGGTGACAAATAAGTTTCTCCTTCCCACCCCAATAGAGGAACTAGAAAACACATGTCTTGGCCTGGGTAGAGACACCACAGCTCAAGAACACATGACTGCAGGCCTCAAGCAGTTCTGGCGTTGCCCTAGCTGTGCACACAGATTTGGGAGCTGAATAGTCAGTCCTATCTCCAGAGCTGACACTTAGCCTACGGCAGAGTAGACACTTGGCACTGAGGTTCCATGGTGTGGAGTTCTTGACAGCAGATGCTGAGGGCTCATGAAGATGTGTTAAAGAGATTGGACAGTTATACTCCACTTTCTTCCCAAGGACCACACACACACACATACACACACACACACACACACACACACACACACACACACAGTGGTCAATATTCTTGGATCAATACTTTTCCCTTGTGGGTTTGTCTGCTAGTCACAGAGATGGTTCTGGAACCCCTATAAACATGAGGCTCCTTTGAGGTACCATAGAGATCTTAATGCCATGTATCATCAGACCATCAAAAAGGAAGGGATTTGTGCTGCATTCGCCAAGGCTTCTTTATTGAATAATTTAGATCATTAACAAAGATAAATAAGATCCATTTTGTTCTTTAATGTAACACAAATATATGACTTACAGTACACCTTCATAAGGCAAAGAAATACAGTCAAAGATTCCTACTACATTCAGAAATTTAATACATAACATATGAGGTCACCACAGAATCCATTTCAGTTCTGATCTGCGTGAATGAACCTCTTCAGGACACACTGACATCTGTCAGCTAGGGTGACAACAAAATGCCCACATGTCCAGCTTCTCTACGCATGGCTTAGGTGTCTGCTGTGCTTTTGAATGGATGGTCACATTCTTTATATGTCTTCATGGAAGGTGAGGCTACCCACACCTAAGAATCACCTAGAAAAGCTCACCTCACCAAAATGGGGCAAGAAGACATGTGGGGGACTTCTTACTGGAGAAACTGCCCACTTCAAACTGCACAAGGACATGATTTGAAACTGGAAGCCAGCATCGAATGTGTCACTGAAGGCACTCTGCCATTTGGAAAAGAAATTTTCATCTCAAAAAGTCACAGAGGAGTTGATGTGCAGCTCAGTGGGACAGCATGTGCCTAGCATGTGCAAGGCCCTGGGGTTCATTTCTGGCATGAAAAAAAGAGGGAGGGAGGGAGAAAGGGAGGGAGGGAGGAAGGGAGGGAGGGAGAAAGGGAGGGAGGGAGGGAGGGAGGGAGGGAGGGAGGGAGGGAGGGAGGGAGGGAGGAAGGGAGGGAGGGAGGGAGGAAAGGAGGGAGGGATCATGCAGACAAACAGGTTGGCTGACTCTAAGAGGAATAGCATAATGAAGAAGACAGACTTAATTCTAATTAAAGAAAAGGAGAAATAAGTGAGGAACAAATTTAAAAAGCAAACACTGTCTGAGCTCTGAAGACACCGAGCAGTGAGCTTCAGCCAGTGAGACCCACAGGGATGACAGAGCTGAGCCTAACCGCTGCAGCCCACAGGCCCCTGCCTCCCCCTCTTGCTTATACTTTTGTGAATAAATTTTCCAAATGAGCCGGCCCACAGCCCAAACTAAACAAGCACATTTATGCACATTGGCACGCCATTGCCCAGGCAAGGAAGTAACGGGGAGCAGCTGGGATGCAGGGGGAGGAGAAGGAATGAATTAAGAGCATAGTTTTCATTTCCTTAGTATAAAATCCATATTTTGATTCCAAAACAAGAAGAAAATTGACTATGTTAATTTCCACAAGCATTCACATGTTCTTCAAAACATCAAAGTATTCATGCCTATTTATATTCTTAAAGAAACAAAATAAATTAATATCAGTTGGACAAAAAGCCACCAAAAATAAACTAATGGGTCTCAATACATATGTGTTACCTAATTTGACCTGTAAAGCTTTGCCTTAAGTCCTTCAGGGAAGAATTTCTTGCAAATGTTTCTTATGGAGCAAATGGGAACATAAGCCTTTTCCTCCTTGTTCTTAACTATCATGGCTAAGTGATGGTGTCTTCTAAATTCTGAACATGGACACACTTCAAAGTTATTTGTAGGCTATTTCTCCCTGTGTGGCAGGAAGTGTCAGCCTGTGCCCTGTGGCTTCCATGAGCTTAAGCAAACAGCTTTTCCAAGCATCCAAGGGAGGTGAGCAGAGCCCTCCTGTTCATGAAGAGGGTGGAAGGGAGACAGCCCTCAAAATCCTTGGAAAAGCTGATGACAAGAGCCCCAGAACAGCCAGCCTCCACATCTGAGTCCACACTGGCACCTGGTTTGATTCCCCGACTTTGCAAAGCTCCTTTCCAACCAAAGCTGACATCTAACAAGGTACTTCATGTGGGTGTGGATCCAGGGCACAGGCAAAGCCAGACTGGTCATCTCCTGAGCCTCTGTAACTCAGTCTGCAATCACCAATTTGGTGACTGAACTCGGCTATAAAATGCTGCTGTTGGGCCGGGCGGTGGTGGCACACGCCTTTAATCCCAGCACTCGGGAGGCAGAGGCAGGTGGATCTCTGTGAGTTTGAGACCAGGCTTGACCGACAGCCTCCAAAACAATACAGAGATACAGAGAAACCCTGTCTCGTAAAACAAAAAAAAAATGCTGCTGTTGGACCACTGGTGTGGGGCTACCCACCTTCCTATCCAGATGCCCAAGCTTAACTGCAGATCAAAGAGCCACTCTCAGATGTCTGCTTTCTAAACCTTGAAAAACAAAAACTAAAAAAAGCATGCTCACTAATTGTGGGATCATCATGTAGGTTCAGGTGGCCCAGAAACCATGCCTGTATTGTGACCTAAGTTGTCACTTCCACGTGTGGTGTGCCCAAGTGTCTGCCAAGCTGATGTCTTACAGAAAATGTCTGCCCCAGACTGGGGGGAGAGTTCATGCCTAGAACTGAAAATGCCCTTCCATGCAGGGTTTCCAACCAGACCCTCATGTCCCATTTAGCATTTGAGTGAATGCCAGCCTGCTGTGGTCAAGGAGGATTAATGCATGCACTGGCTTGTATTTTTTTCCACACTCAGTGAACAGCATCAGCTAAGCATAGCACAGTAATAGAATATTGAAATCAGAGCTCCCTCCACCCATCCTTGCTCCTGTGTGTGTGTGTGTGTGTACATTTTCTTTAAAAAAAGAAGAAAGGAAGGAAGGAAGAAGAAAGAAAGAGAGAGAGAGAAAGAAAGAAAGAAAGAAAGAAAGAAAGAAAGAAAGAAAGAAAGAAAGAAAGAAAGATTTTAAGCTTAATAGGAATATGAGAAACCAACCTTGGATGAATGAATGGGCCAAAGGAGGAAAGACACGTGTTGCAGAATGAGGACACTGTCTGGAGGAAGAAGATTTTTACAACTATCCCAACACCACAATGGGTACTAACCTTCACTAAATGCACCTACTTCCCCTTTACTTCAGAGTTGGGAATAAAAATACTGTAAGGAGGCATTAGTTACTGGTAGGCATGCTTACAGTGTAAGGGTTTGATGATTAGCCACTAGGTTATTCTGACCTCTGTAATTTGTGGTATCAAATTACAGCTAAAAATAGGGGCATTATTTTGCTGAGCTAAACACATCAGCTGTTTGGAAATGAGAGGCTGGATGCACAGTGCAATTTCAGGGAGCTTTGCAAAGTGTTATCTTCATACCAAAATGTTGCTCCTTTTGCTTTCTATAGCCCCAAAGGTTTCTGTCCCCTAAATGCCACCTACTGTAATGCTCATGTTCCTTTTTAAATATCTCACAGCCCATGAGCTAGGAAATAAGAAGTTTGCATCCAATGCCAGGCATGACGGTATGTGCCTTAATCCCACAACTCTGGAGCAGATGCACGTGGATACCTATGAGTTTGAAGCCAGCCTGATCTACATAGCAAGTTGCATCCCAGCCAAGGCTACATAATGAAACCCTGTCTCAAAAACAAAACAAAAAGAAAAGCTTACAACCAGAAACCAGTTTTGTCTTATCACCTTACAGCTGTTGACTCTTGTGAGAATTTGCAGTGCGAATTTGCATAACTATGATTACTGGTCTTCTAGATGTTCGTTTACTTAGCAGCACTGGAATACGAGCATTGTCCTTCCTCAGGATGCACAGATCCATTTCCTAGTGGCTTGAGGGAAGCTCTTGTGACTATCCTTTGAAGGCTGTCATTTTAAGGACTAACCACAAATAGACACCCTTGCTTCACCTCCCAAGCCACCATGTTTAATGGGGATGGACTTGCCTGTTCAACCAAAGCAACGGGCACTCTGTGAAAAGTGTGTTATGAACATGGAGTCAGCTACTAGGTAGAAACTGCTGCACTCGGGAGAACGTTAAGAATGCATGGAAGGTGCCATGTGTGTAGTCTCTTGCCTTAGAAGCCTTTTGTTCCAGCAAGCTAATTATCCATCGGATTCATCCCATTTCAGACCACATAGAAATACAAATCAAAGTGTCCAAATTTTAGAATTTTTCTGGTCATATAATTGTCCTCTTGAGAAACACAGTGCAATGACCGGAAGCCATTTTCTCTCTCCAAATGCATCCCCCATAGTTATACATCTCAAGCACTGCTTTGGTAGTCTGAGAAACAGCATTGTATACCCACTGCTCCACTAACATCCAAAACTAAAGCAGACATCAGAACACAAGAAGCCAAGAAGACAGAGCGTCATCTCCCTCTCTGTGCACTAAGTGGGATGTAGGCATCTGCCTGAGCCCCTAGGGGGCTGCTCTGGGTCACCCACTAAGCACAGCAAAGCCTCTCTCTGAGTTCAAGTTCAAGGCCAGCCGCAAGTGCTACAGCTGCCAGTCATCACAGGGGTCAAGGCACCAGAACTGCTGATATTTCCAGAAGCCTTCTCAAAGCAGAAGCAACCGCAGCAGTTTTCCTACAAAGCAAACAAAATACCACTCTTGTTAATTCAGCAGGACTTTAAAATTGTAATTAGCCAGTTGTGCCCCTTAGGAAAACCACAGATGACTTTTCATAATGTATGTGTGTATGTGTGAGACAGAAAGAAAACGTTTGACAGATTCCACTGCTCACCAGGGCTGGCTGCTTTTCTGAGTCCCTGTGAGTATTTTAACATTATTTGCAATATGGGAGGACAAGGCCCTCTTTGTTCCTTTGACCCACAGTCACTCCTATGCTGTTGTCATCAGTCCACAGCCAGTCTGAGAATTTGGGCCAGGCAGGGGATTCAGTCCCCAGTATCTGGGGGGGGGGTTCCTCACTGACCCTCTCACAGATGCCAAGATTTACAGAAGCCAAAATCCCTTACATAAAGTAGCACAAAACCTATGTAGAACTCACATACAGCTTCGCACATGTCTAAAATCATGCCTAGGTGACTAATAATGCCAGCAATATAAGCTTTGGTGAATAAGTATGGCCCATTGTATAGAGAATGACAAGTTCCCCATTTTTCCCTACAATTTTTCTCTTTCTACAAATATTTTCTTTTTTAAAAAATAATTTATTTAGATGTATTTTACGTGCATTGGTGTGAAAGTGTCAGATCCCCTGGAACTGGAGTTGCACACAGTTGTGAGCTGCCATATGGGTGTTGAGAATTGAACTCAGGTCCTCTAGAAGAGCAGTCGGTGCTCCTAACCATTGAGCTATCTCTACAGCCTTCCAAATATTTTCTATCTACAGTTGAATGGATCCAAGGATAAGAGCTGGCCATATTCTGATCAAGGTTTGTACATTGTTGCTACCCGAACTCACTTTCATGCATCATCTAAATTCTTATGCCTCCTAAATGGGAGAAGACTCAAGGTTGCGAACAATTGGCAGAGAGCCACCAGGCTGGTCTTAGTATTTTATTGGTACATCAAGAAACCTCTAACAAACTAAGACTTATGTGCCTCGATGATTTACATTGCAAATTGTGTCTTATTCATAGAACCTACATCTCTTTCTTTTCCACAAGAAAAATCTTTAACCACCAGGTTTTTTAAAATATTCATCTCAAACTTAGTTTCACTTATAAGTTCTTGCCAAAAGCCTCATTCACCTTCTCAAGAAGGTTTGCTCAGTGTCGATACTAGCCTATACACACACACACACACACACACACTCACACAGACACACACACTCACACACACAGACACACACTCACACTCACTCTCTCTCACACACACACACACTCACACACTCACTCTCTCTCTCACACACACATTCACACACACACAGACACACACACTCACTCTCTCTCACACACACACACTCACACACACACTCACTCTCTCTCACACACATTCACACACACACTCTCTCTCTCACACACACACATTCACACACACACACTCACTCTCTTTCTCTCTCTCTCACACACTCACTCTCTCTCTCACACACACACACTCTCTCTCTCTCATACACACACACACACACACACACACAATCCTTTTTCTTTTTGTGTGATGAACAACATTGAACCTAGGGCTTTTCACATACCGAGTGAGCTGTATCAATGAGCTGTGGCCTCATCTCTCTTTTACAATTTTAAAACTTGAGACAGGCTTTTGTAAGTTGTCTGGTTGGACCTTGAACTCATTCTATAGCCCAGTCTGGTCTTGAGTTTGCCATCCTGAGTTAATACTTTAAACTTAAATTTTAATTTAAAAATAGAGGCACCATGGTAGACCTCATGTGCATTAATCATGAGCCTGGGCTCTACCCCTACAATTGAGACTAAAGAGAAAGCAAACAAATAATGAAGCCGGCTGATTGTGTAGATCAGAAATCATTCTTCCTAGGCTGCAAGGATCCTCGAAGGCCAAAGGGGATTAGAGGAGCCCAGGGAAGAGAGACAGGCAGCCCTAGACCATCAGGAAGCAACCTGTCTGAGCTCAGCAATTCCAGCGGTGTACCCAGTCATATGGTGTGACCAACTCAGTGCTTCCGGTTCTGTCCCTTCATGGGCTGCACTGTCTTCCATCACACTGGGTTCAAAGTGACAGCTGTGGCATGGAAGGATTTTACCTCCTCCCACCACCATTTCCGCTTCCTTCTTTCCCCACAGACCCTGGCGACAGGCCCGCCTTGGAATGCAACCTCCTGTCACCCAGTGCATTCATTCCCACCAGGCCTCAAAAGTGAGTCCAGTGCTCTCTGTGGGAAGGTGGTTTGTGGCAAACCCTGGGGGTTTGTGGTAGCTGGGGATAAACTGCTTCTAAAGGAAAGGGCTGGGGAGAGGGGAGATGGGGATTGGTGCTGCCTGCTTGCTTTGGGGTCCTGGCTGTTCACAGCTGTCAGTGCAGACTGTGGCTGGGTGCTGTCACTTAGGCCTGGGCTCCTATGTGCCTTAAAGTGATACCTTCCTCTACCTCCTCTCACTTTACGGCCCTAACCATTTTTCACAAACAAGAGTGGCCCTGTAAACACAAAGCCCAAACCTCCTATTTGACTGCCCATCGATTTCTAAATAAATGACAGACTACCCTGACAAAGAAGGCTAAGTGCTTTCCAAACCTCGGTTTGAGCCTTTGACTATAATATACTGATTTATTCCCTCTGCATCTTATTCTCTAAAAGATTCAAGGTCACTTAAAAGACTATATCCTGGCAGACATACAAGCAGAAACCCTAGGCCCAGAAAAATTCAGATCAGAATGAAAGATTAAAACCAGCAAGAGCTCAAGGTTAGAGCACTTGCTTAGCATACATAAGGCTCTGGATTTGTCCCAGGCACCACAAAATGAAAAGCAGGTAGGGAGAGGGGCAGAAAGACCAGTTGCCCATTGCAAATGTAATTTTATTTGTTCCCATGGGAGGAGGTGGGGGAAACTTGAGACCAACCTTTTTAGTAGACTCCTTCCGGGAGTTACTTGGTCGTGAGGTTCTGAGCACCAGAGTTACAGTTCTTCTAGGGAATCAAAACATTGGAGGAGGGATTAGAACAGCTTTTATCAGTTTCTGACTTACAATAAGAGCATGTGAAGAACTGATCATTTGCTTCTGAATTCGTGATGATCTTCCAGAGACATCCAAGAGGATAAAATTGTCAGCAATCTTCTTATAGACACACCTGTTCCTCACTCTGCTATGACATCCTGTCACCAGTTCCCTTCCTTCCACTGAAGCCCAGGGTCAACCCACTTACTCCCTCATTGAATCTAGTTTACAAATGTGTGTTTGCCCAAAGCCCACTTTGGCAAAACAAAAGAGTCAGTACTCATGACATTGGGGCTATGACAACTAACGGGCATGGCTGCTTCTGGCTAAGGTCAGTGTAGTAGATAAAGGAATGGTAAGGGGCATGGGAAGATTTAAGAAGATAGATAGATATTTTAGTACAAGGTAAATTCTTATTTTAGAGAACATATAAGTATCAGATTATTTCAAAGGTAAATATGCAAAAATTTAGTATCAACACAAGTTTAGTAACCCTAATCCAAAAATCTAAAATTTAAAATGCTTCAAAATCTAAAGCTTTTTGAGTTCCAACAACATAGCTCCATAAGTAGAAAATTTCACCCTTGACTTTGCGTGCTAATAGTAAAACTGCAGGTGCACTGAACACAATGCACACTACTTCCTGAAGACGGAATGTATAAAGTATACATAAGCCAAGTGAATTCAGTCAAGATTGGGTCCCATTCTTAAGACATATATATATATATATATGTGTGTGTGTGTGTGTATGTATATATATATAATTACATAACATATAATTATATAATATAGTATATAAGGTTTATATATAATTATATATAATACAATCTCATATTGGAAATATTCCAAAATATGAAGAGATCCAACATTTGAAATACTTCTGGTCCCAAGCACTGTAGATAAGGGATGCTCAACCTATATTTTATTGAGAAATAAAATGTACTGGTCATATTTAGGCACCCAAGAACACCAAACATATATAGTATTAGAGTAGGTCTGGAAACAAGCTCCAAGCCAGTTCCATACATCAGAAGTGTGATAAAGCTATGTCCACACTCCAGCACTTCCCTGTCCCCAACTTAGTGATCTCATCTACACAATGGCAATAGTAATAATGCCAGAGTTATGAGGTCAGAGTGAGGGTTACATGTGCCAATCTTTGTAAGGCAGTTACAGTCAGCTCCATGCAGATACATCTTTAATAATAACTAGACTTATGCACAGAGATTTTAAAAATTATTTTCTTGTGATATCAATTTGCTTCAGGTATCACCAGTTGGGTGTGATAACAAAAAATGATTTTTATAGTTGTGATCACATAATTAAAATATTTTTGAACACTTTTTAGTCTGTATAATGTCATTAATTCCTCATTGTGGTTTCTATATTGTCCTGACATGTCAAAGTGTATTTAGACTCCTGGTTAAAAATACATTGGTGGAAAATGGACTCAAAATAGGTTGGTCACCCTAATAAGCAGTTTATGCAGTCTGGGTGAGGTACTGGCTAGGTAATAAGTCTATTTTTATTTGGCATCAGTACCAATTATCAAGGAAAGGTATATTCAGACACAAATAAAACTCAATACTGATGCTGAATTTAGATGTAGATTTAATTTCAATAAAAACTGTCTGTGGAAAAAGTGAGAACCTAGAGTAGTCATTCCAAGATTTGCTGGTCAGAGAGAAGTTTCTTTCCAAACCCCAGGGAGTGTGGACGATGAAGAGAAGAGCAGGAGTAAATGGAAATGTGGAGAGTGTGTGCTGGCCCAGGCCTGGCACCAGCTACCCAACCAATGCACACAGCAGAGACATCCTTATAAGGTAGAAGCTGGAGAGGGGGTTGCTTACTATCTCCATGTTCATCTATCCCAGTTAAGCCTAAGCATTGAGTAAAGCTACTCAAAGTGGTGTGTCTGCTCTTGTATTAGCTCAAAAAAACCATGGTTATTTGGAAGGAAAAAGCATATGAGGCAGAGAAGCCAATTAGGAGGCCACTGTAGCAATTCAGGGAGCAGGTGTTCTGGGCCAGGGCAACATGGGCTGAAGAGAGCTGGAGATATTCGTAATTCAATAAGAACACACAAGGTACAGAACTTGAGGTTAATGAAATATGTAATGGGGGACGGAGACAGGAAGGAAACAAGAGATGCTCATAAGCTGATTGGTACAGTATAATGGGCATTTTTTGCTGAAAGGATGGTTGAAAGTGAGGTAAGATGGTGATGAGTTTTATGTAGGACTGAGAAGATCCAGTTGGATACATCTAGGATGTATGAAATCTGTACCAAAAAAAAAAAAAAGATGAGGGAGTTGGAATATAAACACTAAGGTGATGGATGTAGACAGAGATATTTCACCCTAAGAGATTAGCATAGTGGGGACTTGACTACCCTCAATAAATACTTTAGTCTTTAGTTTCCAATACAAATCTCTTTCACATATGTTAAAACGTGTGCTCATACCAAGTTGGGCATTAGAAGATCTGGTACCCAGAGGAGAATAAAGTATACAAGGTAAACAGAGAATTTAGAATTGTGAATTTTAGGGACAGAATTCTCCTAAATATCCTATTTAAACCGTTTTTATATTTCCTGAGCTGTATATCTGTGTATGTGTGTGAGCTTGTGGTGCAATACATTGTACAACAGATACAATGATTTCATAATGCTAAAACTAATCTATAAAATATAACATTAATGTCTCAGATAGAAAACTCTAAGCAATTTATTTCTAGCACAAGATTTTCTGTGAGCAAAGACATTATGGGAAATCTCAGCTCAGGCTGAGTTGTCTATAGAATCTGGTGAGACAGGCAAGTGGAAAACGGAGAGGAAACAGGAAGCATGGTCACCTGTGCACTCAGTCTGGCGTGGAGCTTGTGGTCTGACAGCCACGGGTGCTTGAGAGCTTCGCTGGCACTTATTCTCCAACTAAAGGGAAATTCAAAAGCCCGTTAAAGAAACACAGGAATCATGCCTGCATCAGCAACTTCTCTTTGGCTCTGGTCACAGGTTTTGGTGGAGTGGCTAACTCACATTGAAGCCTGTCTTCGGGAATTGTGTGGAATGCGAATGTCCCGATATGAATATCAGCTCTAACAACAGTGACAACATTGGTAATACAAACAGGACCAATAATCAAATTTTTAATAATAATTAAATAACTTTTCAAAAATAAGTAATTATTCTGTGAAATGACATCTGAGCCTCGCAAGTTGAACTCTTAATAGGCCATGAAGAGATAAATGCACATCTTTTAATTATAAGGATAAATGTTACAGTAATTCTCAAAGAATACAGAAGCCATTTGCATGGGAAGTCTTCAATATGTCTGCTAACTTTTGAATGAAGGAGTTTTGGAAACTTTAGAGCAGGGAGAGTTACCTTAATCAGAATATATTAGATTACTTTATAAAGAAACTATATTCTCTTGGAGATGAAAAAGGGGGTAACAAATTTTAAAAAATAGCATGAAAGTTATTAAAGACCATATTGCATCCTAAATCTAAACTTTATAAACTTATTTGGTGTGCTGATAAATATCACATTAAAGTAACTATTCAGATTAAAAACTTCTTGAGTGCAACTTCTGAAAAACATCAAATAGTTTTGAGCAGTCATGAAGCTTCAATGTGGAGGATCATCTCAATACAATTGCTTTATCGGATGTTAAATATTAAAATGTCAGTCTTTACTTGCAATGTAGTTATTGAGAAAAATCACCATTATAGGACCCTGAACATGCAGAAGTTATTAAAAACTCAGCTCCACCTATCTCACATGGTTCTATTTAGTATCCTAAAGTTTTGCTACTGGGTCTCTTGACCTCTCTCCTTGGGGATGGTGCTGAAAGATGATTATTCCTACACTCTAATGAAACATGTTTCAAATCTATTAAGTTATTAAGACTGTACTCATAACTGACGTATAATAATGTTTCAGGTTCATTTTTGGACCCCAGCTACTATTTGATGACAATGATATTTGGCCTGAATTTCATCCAAGTGTTGCTTTGAAGACTCAGTTAGGTGCTCATCTGTCAAAATGTGATCTGATACTTCTTGGATACTAAAGAGCCCCCAGACTGTGGGGGTGAGTGAGAGGGACTAAAGATGCCTGAGTCTAGAAAACCTGCTTCTGGGTCTGCGTTGTACTAGCCATGTGACTCGCAGCCTCACTTTCTTTGCATGAAATTGTGGTGATTATCCCCACATATCACAGCAGTATCCAGGAGTTACACACACACACACACACACACACACACACACACACACACACACACACACAGAGAGAGAGAGAGAGAGAGAGAGAGAGAGAGAGAGAGATCACAGTAAATGCAGAGTTTTTCATCCTCCAAAGTTGAAAAAAAAGTTGGCATTTTTCCATCTCTATACTGTCTAAAATCCATAAATGTAAAACAATAACAACCTTGGCTGTTATTGCATCTAGAAGTCAAGGACAAATAAATTAACTCTCTAAATTGCCCCTCTTCTCAGATTGGTATTATTATTCGCCTAAGTCTCCTCATTCTTTAGAGCAACGGTTCTCAACCTGTGTGTCACAACTCCTTCTGCAAACCTCTATCTCCAAAATTATTTACATTATGATTCACAGCAGTAGCAACATTACAGTTATGAAATAGCAATGAAAATAATTTTATGGTTGGGGATCACAACACGAAGAACTGTATTAAAGGGTCACAGCATTAGGAAGGTTGAGAACCACTGCTCTAGAGACTCAGATCTGGCCCCATTGATTTATGAGCTTATTTGTATCATTTCTTTATTAAAAAAACCCCTATCTTACCAGACATGATGATACATGCCTTTAATCTCTTGAGGCACCTGGGAGATAGATGTAGGCAAGTCCCTATGAGTTTGAGGTCAGTTTGGTGTACAAACTGAGTTTCAGACCATTCTTGACTTACTTCCTAGTGATAGACAGCCAGTTAACTGCTTAAATGAAAAAAATCCCTCAAATCCCCCACCATTACCAGTTACCTAGGCTGTTTCTCTTACTGTCCCAAACATCTTCTTTCCTATTCCTTCACAATCATGAGTTACGAGAGGACGATATAAGGCTATCTGACTGCCTAGAGTGTAAGCTTGGAGGAAGATCACCTTACATTTAGTATCACTCCTGCCCCTTCCCAGCAATGAGATCATAAGCTAACTATACACTGTCTCATCATAAAGTAGTCACAACAGAAACTTCTCCCTCTGGGAATTAAGGGCTGTCATTAAAAGAAATGATGTCCAGAAAAAGCAGATGGCGCTGTCTGGCCCGTAAATGTTGATAGACATGAAAGGGATTAAGGGCAGGTCACCTGAAGGCGACCAGAAGGGCTTGACTGCTGGACCTTCATTACAAAAGTCAGAAAGAGACAAGTGCTTCAGTCCCGTCCAGCCTCATGACTGGAACAGTCCTAGCACAAGGAGGCTAAGTCAAGGATCCAAACCTCATTGCATTCAGAGCCTATATGAGCATTATGGATGTCACTGAGGGAATGAAATCTACCAACTCCAGGATGCACACTGCACCTAATCATCCCTACTCCTCCCACAACATGAGATGAATTTGGCTACCTCTTCTCTTTAATTAGGAGCTTAGAGATGAACTCCTTGGCCTCCTCTGAGATGTCCTGAAATTCTTCATCTTCTAAATCCCACCTGCATGCCAGGATATTGGTCAGAGTCTCTGCATCATTATCACCCAAAAAAGGGGACAAGCCACTGAGTCTACGAGACACAGAATTCAGGGTGAGCATTTTTTCAATAGTCTTTAATCTTTTACAGATACTTTTAGTTGCATTTAGATACCACATCTTCGCAGCCAGGACCATGCCTATGTCTCATATCCCAACTCCCGGGTAAGCAACTACAGATAAACTTGTAGATAAACTTGAATCAGTCTCAAATAATAAAATAAAATTTCTTTTCCAATATTTTACAGCTGGAAAGACAAGTTACTGTCACATACTCAGAAGGCAAACCCCAGAATGTCACTGCTGAGGCGCAATCCAAGTATATCAATGTCTACCAATCCAAAGAGATCAATACCTAAGATTTTTAACTATTTTTAGGGTTCTTAGTGGTATCCTGAGACTCAAAGTGACCTGTGGAGAAGACATGCTTATCTTTTTTTTCTTTCAGATATAGTCGAGAAGGGAATTGACTCCTTTCACTTATAAGACTCAACAAAATCTTAGCAATAAGAAACAACACTGTGTTATTCCAGAAGACTTAAGTCAGGGCTTTCATTCTACTGAAGCCTCCTATAATGTTCCCAGGTCAAGGATGAGTGTGTGAGAGACTGGAGAACTGCTTACAGCATGTATGTGATGACACCCACACTCCACATATCCGTGGGAAAGGAAACAAAATCATAGTTCACAACTTCAGGGGCAAGAAATTCTGGGGTTCCAAAGTTCACCTTCAGCTTCTCTCTGGGTTTGTATCTGAAATTGAGGGAACAAGGTGGGAGGGTTGGACATGTCAATCAAAAATCAAAACTAATGAACATTGAAAACATAAGGCAAAATGAACTTCAGTTATGCAGCAAACAAAACATAAACTTTTTACCAGATATTACATATCTGTGCTAGCGTCAAAAACTAATTAACAGTCCAGAGGTTCAAAAGTAAAAATAAATGCTATAAAACTTTAATATTCCGAAGCAGTTGTAAGAAAGCCACTCTAAATAACTGAAACATCTGGAGAAGATTGTGACAAATACCCTGACACAGTCCTTTACATGAACATGGCAGAACAAACCCTTCCAAGAAGACACAATACTGCAGTAACCCACAGCAATGTCTTCTGGCATTAACGTGCTGAGCTGTTAATACGCCCAAGTAAATTTGTTCCCCTAAGAAATCAGAACCATCTATGTCTTGTTTAAACTGCTAACATTTTAAAAGTAAATCTTTTTATAAATGGAACAGATATAAAACTTACGATAAACACAAATTCTGGATTAATGTTAGTAATAAGTTAGTCCAGTAAGTTAATAAACTTCACTGGACTAAATTTTCATGTCTCATTTTTAATGACATGCATTATAGAAACTTCTCAATGCTTATATCTCAAATCCAAAAGGGTTAGGGTTAAAGTAATTTACATTAAGTTAATTCTAAATGAAGGCATGAGATCTGGGGCATTTCAGATTGTCTTTACAAAGAATGAACTTGCATCCCACCTCCTGCTTCCATCCCTGCACTTACTGCTAAACAGACATACCTTCTGGCCAATCCAAAATCAATAATTTTTATTTGCTTAGCATCCCGATTCACACACAGGATGTTCTCAGGCTGCCAGGAGAAAGAGACACATTAGCAATGAAAACAACCATCTTTCACTCAAATTGTCCTTGAACCACAACTAAAAATACAAGATGCTCAGGAAAATATATCAGGACTTTCACTCAGGGGCTGGTTTGTCTGTGTGGGTATTTTCTCCTTTAATTATGTGGTGGATGAGGTTGTGGGTAGCCTGCCAACCTTGCATTACCCTGCCTGTCCCTCTTCATGGTCTTACAGATTGCCATAATGCACGAGTTCAGGCAGGGGCCTTCTAGAGGAGAGAAAGAGAGAGGAGGCTGTTCCAGCACTTTCTAAATGGACTGGTGGAGCACAGTTCAGAACTGACAGAGCCCTCCTCCTGTTAAAGTATTAAGTGTATTTCCTTCTTGGAGGAATATTTCCCTCAAGATTTACGAGTTCCAAGAGAAAAGGCCTGATTCACTTAAACAGCCACACTGAATACGCAATATAATGTGAACATTTTTGACCTCCAGATTTTTCCCTTGTGCTTTGTCTATGGGAAAGTCACATGCTAAAGGAAGGGTTTTGTCTCCTACTCATTCCTCATCTCCAAAATTCCAAGGTTTTGCTGAGCTTGGTCTCAGTGCTTAAAGTCCTTGACTAAGCGTTCCCTTGGAGTTAGACACTAGTAAAACTTGGCCTTGCTAAACTGACAGGCATGGGGGAGGGGACAAAATCAAGCTACAGCACTACTACTCAGTGTCCCTGGAATGTCCTATTAATGTAGCTATATTTATTGGGATAGAAAAACCTTAAGTCTGGGAAAAATAAGTAATTTCATTTAAAGCCAAGGTCATCCATAAAAAAAGAGAGAAATAGCATTTTGCATTTTCAAAGAAGAGCCAAGAACTCTTAAATTGTAATTTCAACTCCACTAAGAGTTGGGCATAACAAAGTTGCCAGGTACCCGGGATTTTATACCCATCCTTTGCATGGACCACACCCCCTTCTACATCCTGTCTGGTGGAAAGGGGGTCCAAGCAAGGAAGAAACCCAGACACACTTTGTGCAATGATGTAGTGTCTCCATATCAACATCTAATCACCCATTTGGTTGTATATAATATCTTTGGAAGCCCTTTCCTAAAGTGTCTCTAAAGCAGATGTATGAGAGTAAAAGCCATTTTATACAGAGGTGGGTGCCTTACTAGAGTAGCTGGAGTCATGCTTAAACAATGGGTTGAACAAGCAAAAGCTGTCCTAGTATCAAAGAAAAACATGGTATCCTGAAAATTCCTTTGCAGAATATAAGGAAACATCTTTGAGACCACTTAAAAAATAATTTCTATGATACTAAAACTAAGAATGTCAAAATAAATGTACAAAGGAGAATATTTTTAAGTTACTTCTTGACTCCCTGCAGTGATGCGTACTCAATGTCTTCGTCTTTTTTCTTCCAAGGAGCTCTCTGAAGAAACCTAGTCCTTGGTGACCCATACAGCTGTCACCTTTATTATTGACTTTATATATAAACCATAACTAAAACTGCCCATTGCAAGTCTTCAATCAATGCTACAAAGCCACAGATGGAGTCATTTGACTTATGCTAGGTCAGCTCCTGGCTCTAGTTGCCAATCAAATCCCTTTAGGGATATCTGTAGAATATTCACAGTGAACAAAAGTGCTCCTTGAAAATGCACATTATCATATTGAGTTTGTAGACAAGGACTTTACTAATGATTTTTAACCTCTGACTTTGTCGCTTTATGTACCACGTCCCCCTTCCTCCCCTATGCAAAGGTAAATGGGAAAGTCAAGGCACATAAATCAAGACAATGAGGGAATCCAAACTGTAGGAAGAGAGAGGCCCATGGAAATGTATTTAAGGAGGCCAGATTTATTCAGCTGTACCTTCCCTGGAGACTTACAATATATGGTATGTTACATAGAATACACAATTTATCTCACTGTCATGCTGTGCAAACAGGGAAATGAGAAAGTAACCAAGCCACACAAGAAGATGCACTTTATGATACTAACTCTAGTGTAGACTGGATCGGACTTATTAGGGTTGAGTCCTTTTGTTGGTTTTATGTAAAGTGATGTGCAGTCCTGTTCTGGAGGCTTCATAATGAGAGACAGATGAAGAGAAGGAAGGAAATGAACTGGCTTCCCTCATGGCTTCTGATTTGTGAACAACTACCTTCCCTTCTCTTTGGTATTGTAGCACAACCCACTAGCTACCCTGAATTCCATTCTCTATGGCTTCTACTCGGTGTTTTAGCAAATCCATAAGAAAGTAAATCTAAAATAATTTCCTAGATGAAAACAAGAGGCTACTAGGGATTCTTAGAATCTGAAACCGTAGCTGCAACTTCAGAATTAAAGAGTAAAACACTCCCATCATGTTCTCTGATAGGAAAGAGATGGCAGGAATATTGGGGGATGGTGCTGGTTTTAATTCTACACCTTTAGGGAAATGACCTACTATGTTGATCTAATAGAGGTAATTTATAATAATCTCAACAAAAGGCTCTAAAGATGGGCATGCAAATATTAGTCCCTGAAGGTGGTGACAGGAGTTGAGAATAAGATAAAAATCCTGATTTTGCTAGGTGGTATGATATGAATCTGTCGCACCAACTGGGGAGGCTGAACTTGAGAGGATAGCTTGAGCCTAGAAGTTCATGGCTGGGGAAGGGGAAGAAGCAAGACACCTCTCAGAAACAAACAAACAAAGGAAAAAAGTCCATATTATTATTAATTCCTGAAAACATTACCAGAGATAACACAACTTTCTAAGACTGGTACATAATAATATTTCCCTGAACATGAGGGTCAGGGCTAATGATGCTCTATATTTCATGGGATGAAAAACATGCTCTACCTTGAGATCCAAGTGGAGGATATACATCTGGTGCATGTACCTTATCCCCTCACAGATCTGCTTCATGAACAGGATGGTGTCCAGCTCTGTTAAGCTGCAGTTTTCATCAATGATGCGATCAAACAGCTCCCCACCTTCCACACTGCAGAGGGAAGAGGTGAAACTTTTAGCCCTGGCTCCATGAACGCCACATGTGTTTCTTGTGCTAAGTCGCTGCCCAAGTTCCTCTAGCTCTTGCAACAGGTGTGTGTATGCAGCCTTCTTTGCTGTGTGGAATACATGATGCTTATGTTGGATACCTTCAGTATACCTTATGTATATATCTTCAATGTCATACAACTGAAGTCTCAAAGTCCCTGTCATTAGTAGCTGCATGTACTCTAGGTGAGTCCATGTGTATCACTTAACAGATATTGGAGATGAAGAGGACTCAAGGACACACTGAGGTGGAATTCCAGTGTTAACAGAGAGTGAATCACGGTCTTTGCCTTTTTAGACTAAGTGTAATGGCAAAGTGCTTCTATGTGGCTGATACAATAGTTTTCCAAATGCCTGATATACTATGGCAAACAAAACAAACCAACTTTCAGTGTCTGTTCAGTGTAGAACTACTTGAGATCTACTTGTGGTGGGTGTGCTGGTGTAGGACTTTGTAGACTTTGGATGAAAACCAGGGCATCACATGCTAGGCAGGCACTCTACCACCTGAGCTGATTGAGTCTTTACATAAGTGATTCTGAAATGAAGCTGCTTAGCCTAGTATCACGGGCTTTAGCATCTGTTTTGTGTTCTGGAATGCTAAATCATCCCCCCCATCCACAGCTTCATTTTGCTAGGTTTTAGTTACTCATGGTCACCTGTGATCAGTATAGCACAGAATATTCTGAGATAGAGACTGCATTCACATAATTTTTGCTTGATATACTGTTGTAATCTATGTATTTTTGATGATTTAATCTTTATCATAGGTATTTAAGTACTGATAGGCTCAGCACTGTTCCCAATTTTAGTCATCCATTAAAGGTTTGGAACACACCCTCAAAGGTGAGGGAAATCACTGTTGAAGGAAACAAAGCTCACAATCCACTTTCCTCTAGGTTGCACAGGATAAAGTTCAACCTTGGTTTGGGACAACAGAGCTTGGACATGGGCTCCATCTATTTTTTCCTGCTGCATCTATCAGTGAGTTTCACTGGGAGATTGCACTAAAAACCAGTTTCCCTTCTGACTCTGGCAAACACTTGTGTCATCTGCAGCTCAGATCCAATGGTACACTGCCCATGGTTCCAGCTGGGTCATGGGTTCTGTGCAGAAAGTGTGTGAAGGTGTGTGGGAGGGACAGGACACCTACTACTCCATGACTAGAATGATGTCATGCTTGGACTCAAAGGCATCATAGAGCTGAATAAGGTTCACATGGTCCAGCTGGTTCATGACGCTAATCTCGTTCTTCACATCCTCCTAAGGAGAAGGAAAGAGTTCATTAGTGTGGTGGAGACTGGCCCAGAGGGAGAGGAGACACCTCCCATGGCCTTTACCTTATCCTTTGCACCTCTGATCTTAATGATTTTAGCAGCCAGCTTCAGGCCTGTTGCTTTCTCTTCACATTTGTGAACCTGACCAAAACGCCCCCTGCCAAAGAACAGACAGTTCAGTGAGGCATGGTAGTCTGCAAGGCTCTGTAGCTGTCCCTGCCAGGTGGACAGTATGAGTTCCCAGGTATTGCAAGCATGTCTCAGCTTCTGGAACAGCATTGGCCAAGGTGAGTTCTATGGGTCTGCTATATCCCCCAAGGAAGTTGTAATGGTCTTTTGTTTTTTCTCCAAGTCAGAAACATTGCCCATTACAAATCTCTGTGATGTAAAGGGGATGAGAAAGCCCTGAAAACCTTACATCTTGAATTATATTTGTGTGTGCTGTCTTGACCTAAATCCTAGAGGTTAACCTCATCAGTATGCTAATGCTTATTGTTGTTTGGGGCAAAGGAATTTGATCAGTGTCTCCTGTAGGTGAATTTTGAATTGAGGACAGTGGTCCTTCCTTTCCCTCCTCCTTTTTAGCTCTCTCTCTGTCACTCTCCATGATGTCATCCACTATGATGTGATGCAGCAGAGGACTTTTCACCACATCCAAGTGAATGCTGGTACCATGCTCTAGACTCTCCAGGACTATAGACTAACTGAACCTGTGTCCATTATATAGTATCCAGACTTCAATATCTCATTATAATAGAAAATAAGATACTACAGCTTCTCAATTATATAATCATATTCAGAAGTGCACACATATGAGCAACTTGACTTGCTTCTCTTAGTGCTTATTTAATAAAGTAAGGCAGGGAACATGTCTCTACTCTTTTCATTGGTGGCTATCATGGCAGAGAGTGAAAGGGAAGGTTTCATATCAACATAGTGAACCAGAAAACGGTCACATTATTGTTGCCTATAGAGATAAGCGTGAACATGCTTGACATGTACAGGAGTAGTAGCCCAACCACCATGGAAGTAGGTGGATCTTGGAGAATTACTCTGCATTACCTTAAACATATATAAGTAAGTGGCTATTTTATTTCCAACATTCACCATAGAGGCCCTCTGTGTTGGCACACATATGAACATAGCCCCAAGTATTTCTCATGTCACTGTGATTAAGAAGATGTCTTCCTCCCCCCTCCCATTAACACTAATCTTAGAACTGTCTGGTCAGCAGTGATGTCCTGTCACTGTCTGACTCTATGCTGGGGCTCTCACATGACTTATTCTGGAAGGACCTAGATACTGAGGCCACCTCATAGCATCCATGCTGGAATACCATACCGGTAGTCTCATGCTAGCTGAACAGACATGAGTCATTGTGTTCATCAGAATTCCACTGGGTGAATGGAATACATAGGATAGCCTAAAGGAACAAAGGTTTGTTTTGACTCATGGTTTCAGAGGGTTTGAGCTTTCGTCAACTGGCTCTGTTTCTTTGGGCGCAGCACAGCATACCATGGTGGCAGAAGAGCTGCCCACTTCATGGCAGCTGGGAAGCAAAGGGTAGAAGAGGATGAGAAGTCACTGAGGTTTCACTACTGTCTTCAAGGACATATGCCTAGTAGCCTAATCTCATTCAGCTAGGTTCCATCTCCTAAAGGCTCCACCATCTCCTAATAATGCCACGTAGTAGCTGAGCTTTTACACGCATTGGGAGAGATTTTTAACATAAATGATGAGACGGATATATAAATACCCCAATGCCACAGAGCAGGAGATGAACCTAGGAAAACTGCCAAGACTTCCATGGTATTCGCCTGTTTCAATTTCTCCTCCAAGTAAAAGATTCGCTACTACATAAGGAATCCTTACCACTTACAGCAACATGTACTTGGTCCACCATCTTAAAACAATACACACTTAATTATGCTCTTCTAACCTATTTTTTTAGCGCAGTATGGCCACCAATGTTGAGGTGAGCCCACAACAAGCAATGGCAGACCTCAAATCCAACTGTGTCCAAAGAGGCAGATGAAAACTTTTAAAGGAGCCACTGACAAAACTTGGCCCACAATGCAGCACAAAGCCTGGAAATCATTTCAATGTTCCTTCTGCAAACAACTCTTCTCCTTCAGAGGTGTAGCTGCTGGTGTGCCACCGAAGTCCCAGAAGACCCAAATACTTCAGTTTGCACTTGTGTTTCTGAATACTCATTTCTCCCTCATCCCATCCCCACTGGCCTGGAGGGACTTCTGCAAGATCAGTTGCCAAGGAAGAAAATTTTCAGGTGTTTCTACATGGCAGAGGGCAAAGGAATACGGAGTGGTAAGGGGAGGACATGGCTTTAAATTAACTGGTTGCCCCTTAATATCCTGAGGAAACCACTCTGAGGTATCATGCATGCATACCCCCCATGGGTTGGTTGTATATATAGTACAATTTTCTTCTCCCCTGTAGTAAATCCCATTAGGTAGGCTTTGAGTTACAGGAAGTCATTGGGAGACTGTGGATGAAGTGGGAAAGGAAAAGGTCCCCCAGTGTAACCCTGATCCCTGATGAACTCTAATCTTCTCTCTTTAAGAGACAGTGTGCACTTAGATGACACTCAGATGAGTTCTTCAGTGAGAACAGCAATCAATTGAAATGAAAATAGTCCTTCGTGTTATAACAGCTAAATGGAAAACCAGCGAGAATGATAGGAAGGTGAAATCCACACCACTAGAAACACATAGATCAGAACATTCTGGCATTTCTAGCTGGCTTTGGACAGTTCCTGAACCTTCTTCTGGTGACTCATATTGGGTTTTTCCTACTCTCAGACGTTATGACATGATAAATTAAACAGATGCTAAATGGGAAGTATAGCTACCACGTCAACCGTCTAGGACAAGTGACAATTTTCAAAAATGGTTAAAAACTTTTAAAATGTTTGTTTTTTAGTGTTTGCAGTTCTCAAGTCGAGACCAACAAACATTTCTGCCACCTTGGGCTCTGCATCTCAAAGACTCTCTGCTTTTACTGAGACATTGTTCAAACTGGGCCTTACTCACCCTCCTAGGATCTCAGATTTGCTCACGGTGTACAAACTGTCGACTGCAGCATGTTTGGCCATTACAATCCGGTGATCAAATGGGGCTGCAGGAGCAGGGGCATCATCTGTCAGGGGAGAAGGAAAAGGCTGACCTCCCAGCATCAAGCAACATGCCTCATAATAACAATCAGCTCATTAAACTGGTATACAATCAGCCACCTGTCTTAGTCCTAATGACCCTAGAATATAAATTTCCATTTCATGTGTGAATAGTCTGTGACTCATGAATATCTTGTCGGGTGTCTTTGAGAAACAATGTTATCCACAAACTCTTTAGGATGGCTTTTAGAAAAATGCAAGACAGTGAAGAATATGTAATCCCAGAACAGTCAAACACTTCAGGAGCTGGAGCTCAAGTGCAGTGGGAAAGCATTTTCCTAGCATGGACGAGATTCTTGGTTTGATCTCCAGCACCGCATTTCTTTTCAAGCTTTCAAGCCTGAAACCATTTTTCATTAGACCAAGAGAAATGAATTGATTCATCTTTTTGGAAAATGCTCCTGTATAGTTCATATTTTAATTAAAGCAAAGAGGAAAAATGGAGAGACTTGAATTATTTCCTGTGTCATTGAAATATTTGATACTGTATATTGCTTTCTAGAAGTTTTAGGCTTTATTTCAGAGGCATTTAAAGTACAGAGATAAATTTTCTCTGGCTGAATGTAAATAAAACACCCAATAAAACTGTAAGTTATATGCTACAGCCATCCAGTTTCTCCCAGTCCACCCTCCATCTTGTATGTCTAAGTGATAGTCTGCATCAGCATGAACCCTACCAGACATAGCTACTCAACAATACTTCTCCTAATGGTCTTCATATTTTCCCATGACAGTTTCTGTCCATGAATTTGCTCATCTCCATTTCCTTATTAAAACAGCTACAGCACACATACAGCAAGGGTACAAAGAAGGGGGAGTTTTTAAAAAGCTAAGTTCTTTATTTTATTTATTTATACACTTATTGGTTTTCTGAGACAGAGTTTCTGTCTGTGATCTTGACTGTTCTGGAACTCACTCTGTAGACCAGATAGCTCAGACTCAGAAATCTGCCTGCCTCTGCCTCCTGAGTGCTGGGAGTAAAGGTGTGGAACACCACCACTGCCTGGCTCCAAAACAGCTATGTTCTTTAAACTTGGCATTTATCCAATATATATTTCCTGGTCACTTAGCTTGTTCTGGGTATACTATCAAATATTAATATTAATTTTGCTTAATTAATTTAGAATTTTTATATTCAGATAGCATAAATCTCATGGTATCTAGTTTGATGTAAGCATTCACCTCTCATGCCATAAATATACTCTGAAATAAAACTAGGAGAGAATTCTTCAAGAAGTATTTACTGCTTCAGATTTTGTTCAGGCTGGGAAGATATCTTTGTGGATAAAAGTGCTCTATGTGCAAGTCTAAAGACATGAGTTTGGGTCCCTAGGATCCATGTCAAAAGTCTAGTGTTGTGCCTGTAACCCCATTGTTGATGGGTACAGCCTAGCTGCAGTGTCAAAGGAATATAGTAGAAAATGATAGAGCAGGACATTTGGTGGCCTCCTCTGGGCTTCACACATGTACAGGTGCATACCCTGAGCACACATGTTTATAGGCATCCCATATATATTACATACATATTCACAAATACCTAAGATAGATAGATAGATAGATAGATAGATAGATAGATAGATAGATAGATAGATAGATAGGACTATTTCTTTTACATCCACAAAGAGTGTCAAGTTAAATACACTAATGGCATTTATATGGCATATGTTTCCTTAAAGCTGTTAGGATAAGAGAAATCCCTTTGGAATGTTTGCTGGGGATAGTTAGGAAGCTTTAAAAGTCCAGAACAAAAATTACTTCCTACCTAGTAGAATGGCCAGGTCTTTCTCTCTAGAGGCCGTCATCCCATCCTGGGGTCTGTCATCCAGGCTCCTGGCTGGTCTGGTTTCCTCCATACTCACTCCATCTATCCTGCTCTTTTTGTTGTCCTCACTTAGGAAGCACTCCTCTGCCACTCTGCGCTTACTGCTGCCAGCAGACTCTGTCTGTTCGGCATTCTGGAAAGGGGATCCTGATGCTGAATTTCCCAGGATTCCTGGTGTGGAAATGGCCTTGATATTACTGATGCATCTGGAAAATAAAATACATTTGCAGCTCTCAGTGTTTCAAGGAAAAATTGTTCAGATTGTCAAAACTCTTAGAATTGAAGCTTTCTTAGGATGGTGTTTGGGACGATGATATACTCTGTGGCACAGAGGTGACCGGTCCAGCAGCTGAGGACATCAAATCCAAGTAGACATAGAGAGTCTTCCAAGGACCTCACTCTGAGTTCAAAAGTGGTCTATAATTTCTCTCTAAACAGAAGAGAGAAATTATAGAAATTATAGCAATGATCTCTCTAAAGATTGACAGCCACAAAAGAACAATTATTGGTGGAAGAATTAGCTTAATTGGCATGTTTTGGTAGTTTCTGGTCTTCCTAAGCACATTTTGTCATGATGGAGTTCAATAATAACCAGTGTTTAATATATAGAAATTAGATTTCTTCAAGATTAATTTTAAATATATTAAAGCTAAGAAACAGCTATGACTTAAAGACCCCCCAAAAGACATCAGAAGTGTTTAGATACCCTTTGCTCCAAACAAATACTCACCATACTTAGAGCAGCTAACATGACACTTCTTAATTTTAAGGAAGAAACTTAGTCAATTATCTACTTCATAAAATACTAGGGAAGAAACAACTGATGTATAATGGATTAGGTCAACTCCTTCAAATTTGGGTTTTTAATTTACAATTCAACATAATCATTATTTAATTCTTAGCCTTAGAGAGGATATGTTTTTTAATTGTTAAACAACAACACTCTTTACTTGGTGTTTTTTTCTAAGAGTATTAATTGCTGGAGATATCCAAATTTGTGATTTTTAGTGTTGGTGTAAGACTTAGAAATAATCACATGGGGGTCAGGGAGGAATCACAGGCTTAGCTTGAACAAGGCCCTGAGCGCCAGCCCAATGGAGGGAAGCAAGGAAGGAAGGAAGGAAGGGAGAAAGGACTGACAGGGGATGGAGAGACAGAGGGAGAGAGGTAGTGGGGAGGCAGGGAGGAAATAACTGAAAACACTGGCAAGAAAAAAGAGGAATAGCAGAATAGGAAAATGTAATCATGAAAAATCAATGTAAGATAGGAGTGCATTCTAAACATTGCCTTTAAAAACATCTTCATTTGTCTTTCAAAATGGCCTCAAATACTACAGCACAAAGGCCTATAAGAGACACTGTTGTGGAGGTGTCATATTGCAGCACTACCTTTCATGGGATGGGCCGCCATTCGTTTCATCAATGTGCTGATTTTCAGTGGAATGTTTGTCCAGCACTGTTCCACTTCCAGCTGTTGAAACTCTGTGCTCAGCTTCTGTTCCCCTGGCGTCTTCCTTAGAAGGAAGCCCATTTTTCCCTCCTTTGTAAAACAGGCATCTGTTTTTATCCTCAGTGTCCTGTTTATCTCCCAGGATGTTGCTCTCTTGTGTCTCCAGACTTTCTATGCATGGACCATCTTTTCCACCTGCATCCTCTCTTAGCTCTGTGGAAATGCTCGGAACAAAATCTGCCTTGTCTTGTCCTTCTCTATGGCAAACAGCACAACTCCCCTGAACTTCAGAGGTGTTGGTCTTCTCCGCATTTTTCCTGTTGAGTTTGGTAACCTTTTCTTTCTCAGAGGAGAACTGGTCTTTCTGGTCAGATCTCTCTAGAAGCCACAGAACACAAAACATTTCAATGAAGAATACACATGATCACCTTAATTTTGGCTTCTTTTAATGGCATCTCTAGTCTGCCTTCTTTTTTAACAGCAGGTTTAAGCTTTCAAAAGCAAAGCAGAAGGAAATATGCCCAACTGACTGAAAACTGCATAACAAGTGATTTTCTTATTTGTAAGTTCAAAGCCAATCAGATAAAATATTTAAAGAAATACCACTCATCCCCATAGGAGTTAGGAATGTGTGATTTCCACCAAATAAGAGTAATAGCAGAACTCTCTCCATAACCATTGAGTCTCCTAAGGATGTTACCTGTGAAGGCTGATGTCTTGCCACCTGGGACAATCGTCCTTTCATTCGATGCAGGGTTGGACCACACGTTTTCCTCAGCCTGTGGGTGTACAATCAAGCAATCAAGGTTACCTACTGTTTACACACTTTAGCCTCAGTGCTTCTGAAATAGGCTATGCAATTCTTCATATACAGAGCATCACAGCACCATAGGACATTTAGTGTTATACCTGGCATCTCCCCACCAATGCCAGGAGAGCCCTGCCTTCCAGTTGTGATGACCAAAAAATGACCCCAGACATTTGAAATTTATTTTCTTTAAGTTTTACAGTGTATAACACATCCTTACTGACTATATTTACTCTGTGGTGCAAAATAAAAATCTGAACCCTATTCTTTTGTTTGTTTGTTTGTTTGGTTGGTTGGTTGGTTTTTTTTTTTTTTTTGAGGCAGGGTTTCTCTGTATTGTTTTGGAGTCTGTCCTGGAACTCTCTCAGTAGACCAGGCTGGTCTCGAGCTCACAGAGATTCACCTGCCTCTGCCTCCCGATTGCTGGGATTAAAGGCATGCGCCACCAACGCCCGGCTGAACCCTAGTCTCATCTATCTAAAATGTTGCTAATTTTCTTAAAAAATAATGTCAATAAAGCAAAATGTCTCCAAAGATTACTAAATGTCCTTGGGAGTAAGGGAAAATTTGTCTCTAGTTGAAACTACTATATTAAATAATTCCATTTTAGTTGTTTTGATTTGGCTCACTTATCATTTGAAGAAAAATCAGAGAACACATGAATGACTTTTCTAAACTATGTAGAGGAGATGAAGGCAGTGAGCTTTTGTTCAATAAGTTTTTATGTAAATTAGAAACAATCTTATTTTACATACCAATTCCTGTTCCCTCTCTCTCCCATGGGTGAGCTTCTTAACAACTAGCTCTTCCTTTCCCTAGAAGATACCTTTCTCCCAAGCAGCTACATGTACTCACAATTCTAGCTTCCCCAAATTAGTATAACAAACCCTTCCACACACTGTGTGAAAGGCAAAGAATAGCCTAATCTTCACAAATTCTAAATTATAGGTTGTAAATTGATAAAATCCTATGAAGCCGCAGAAAATCAGTTCCTCCATTCTTTAGAGGAGAATACAATTTGCCCTGCAAATATGATAGATCATGTAAGAGCCAACTGTAGGGACGAAGACAAATTGCAATATAACTCAGAATACTTCCCTTTTCCAGATGGGTGTCTCACCACACAAAGGCACAGTACTTTCTATAGTACATCTATAGAAAGCCAAGGTTGAAGATCAAAGCCATAAAAAGCCTCTCCCTTTTATGTCAAGTACAGAGATGTCAGTGAAAAATGTCCTTTAATTTCCTTAGGTGAAGTCAGTTGCTACTTCTGTATGTGGGCACAGAACTTGGCATTTATGCCAATACCAGTGTCCCTTGTAACACTTCACTGAACTGTTTTTGCCTGTCTGTTTCCTACTAGGTGCTGGGCTTATGATGGTCATGGTGCTTAGACTAGAAACATCACATAGTCATGCTGATGGTGTTGTAATGATGGGGATAACAATGAAGATGATGATGATAGTGTGGTCATAATGATGGCAATAAGAATAGGAATGACAATGATGGCTAACATGTATTGAACACAAACAAGTCTACCAGAAATTCCTCAATGCACTTTGCATGGTTAACTCACTCATGATTCACAAAAACTCCTTGCGAGAGGCTATCAACCTCATTTTATAACTAAGTCTGTATCCTAATTCTTTTCTCTGCTTGGTCTGTTCTCTAAGTGGCAGCATACTCTGTACTATTTTCCTGGTATAGAAATGGATTTTAGCTAACCTGGATAGTTAAAACTGATGTGGATCTACTGCAGAATAGACACCATAGAATAAGAAGAGCAGAGGGCATAAAATAAAAGCATTAACACAGCAAGAAAGGCATATGTGTTCGTTAGCTAAAAGATTAGAATTTACATGGAAGTGGGCAGAAAGAGATGATTTCATTTTAGTTCTAAAACATCTATATTCAAGTTAGTCAGATAAGGCAGTCTAACAAATTGTGTTGATGGCAATTTATATCTGTCTCTTGGTAATTTCTCTTCTGAAATAAAAATGTCTAGCATATTGGTAGGCACCATGCTTTGTGATTTATCCTGTGTGGCAATAGATACTACAGAAAGAGCAAAAGTGAACTTGATAATGATGAAACCCAGTGTGTGTTCATTTATTTCAACCCATCAAAATATGTAAAAGTGAGAGTTTGCTATATAACCCTGTGGAGCCAGTTGGGCCACGAGTACCCAGTGGCGAATGTGAGCGTGAGGTGTCCACTCTCCTCAGGCAGAGTCTGGCCTGGCCAAGTGCAGAGACTGTCAATGCTGAAGACACAGGAGCCAGTCACCGCACAGGGCTTCTCTTCCTTTTTGTAATTATGAGTCACCTGTGTTTTACCATTTAACTAATGCATGGCCTCCAGTCATTGCCACCGGCTATTTATAATTTCATTTCCCTGTGTGATACTGACATCTAGAGGAACCGAAGTGTCTCTAACAGACAGAGTAGTATTTTTTTCCTGTCCTCTCCTTGTGTAGCTACCATGTGGCCTTTTCTCTGCAGCCTTTTCAGTTGCATTCCAAGTTCTCTGTAGGAGTTCCTCAAACAGGACATGGCTCTGTGGATGCATTTTACCTGTTGATCAAAAGTGACATTTGTTCTATATGAATGTAGCCATAAGGATCAGTGCTGTTCAGGAAGAAATCCATAAAACCATTCCTATCACCCTGCAAAGGGGTGAATCAGAATGACACTCCTCTACTGCATTCACAATTCTGGCTGAGATGAACAAAAAAGTTCATTTCATTCAGGTTCATCTATTCAGTCATTTAAAAAATATGTATCTATTTGCATATGGGTACCTTTGCAAGTGCCTACCAATATCTTCTATAACAATTCTTATTAAATTTATATTTTACATAGTTATGTATATATATATTAATAAAATTGGGCAAACATAATTTATGAGTTACTATAATAAATGTTGTTTCTAAAAATAAATATGCACACACACCATCAGTCTATACAACTGATGAATATTTTAGAGTGACTAACTTTTACTGATAACTGTGTAAAATCAAATAGTTCAGAGGCCCATTTCTCTAGGCATGATGGTTAGATTTGTCACCTTGATACAAACCAAGCACCAGGAAGAAGGAACTTCAGTTGAAGAACTACCTCCAACAGGCTGGCCTGAGAGCAGCTAATTTTCTTGATTAATGATTGATGTGGGAGGGCCCAGCCCATTGTGGGCAACACCACCCCTGGGCAGACAGTCCTGGGTTGTATGAGAAAGCAGGCTGAGGAAGTCACAGAGAGCAAGCCAGTAAGCAGCAGTGTTCTTCCATGGTTCCTGCCTCTGCGTCCCTTGTGTTCCTGTCCTGGCTTCCCTTGAGGAGGCACTGCAATCAGCAAGTATAAACTGAATAGACCCTTTCTTCCCCAAGTCGTGGTGTTTATCACAGTAACAGAAAGCAAGCTAGGATACTAGGCAACACGATTCCAGTCATATTCTGATTTTTCTTCATTTTCTATTTTGAAGAGAACAAACGTTCTAATTAGCTGGTTCAAGGACAAGGACATAACTAGAACTCTCGGTTTATTTCTTACAGTGTTTTTCTTTTTATACAATCTGCTCTCCATATGAGGTCAAGATTCACTGCTTAGATGCCTGCTTTCCTTGCTCATCACACACCTTACACCTGTGTCATCTCTAGAGTTTGCCATGCCAAAGGATCCAACCGTGTCATCTGTAGAGTTTGCCACGCCAAAGGATCCAACCATGCACATCGGTGAGCACCCACTGCTGAAACATGAGGTCCTATCTGTCCTGTACTTCAAACCCACATTCCAGCAATGGAAACAGTGAGATGACTGAACAGGAAGTTAACACACAAGTACAAAGAACTTTGCCTTCCCCTTCTCTCATACCCAGTCAATAAAAACTATCCTTTAAAAATCAACTTAAAAAATATGTAACCTTAACAGTGACAGTAAAAGTGAACTGTCACTGGACTTCAACAATACTGTAGTCAGTTTTTGTGTGTTTGTGCCACCAAGGGACACATCTGTCCTCCAAATGGAATCTGGAGCCATCTATTTTTGGTTCTCTAGAACTTGACCAGGAGAATTTAGGACTCTAAAAAAATGCTTAGAGCAGTAGTGTGTGATGAAGGAAGAAATGGTTCTGCTGGTGTGACGGTGTTCCGACATTAGGGCTCATCACAGGCAAGCAGTGTCCCCTGAGGACCATTGCTAACAGATCCTGCCACTGCCCCTCACATCCTCGCTCCACTTTAGAAAAAAACGCTACGTGATAATCACATCCCTGCATTTGGGGATTATAGCTGCTTCAGAACAGTAAAACCATAACATCACACATGGAACATAACCAAAACTACACCCTGAAGAGTGGGTCTGTATCTCATTACTATGGAATGCCATGGTGAATACTTTCTGGTCACTTTAACCTAATGTCTAGTAATAGAAAAACAAAATTAAAACGATTTAAATGACTTTGTTAAATTTTAACTAGGTTCTTCATGGGAGAAATGAGAATGAATAGTTCCTGACAGGATACAAAGAGGAAGATTTTTAGAAAAAATAGTAAAAGTACTTACGTTCCCCTATTTAAATGTAAAAGATTAATTTTAAGACCTTATGTCTATTTATTGTTTATTTAGAGTGACTGTGCCACAGTGGAGTATGGAGGTGAGCAGGCAACCCGTTGGAGTTGATTCTCACCTTCAACTACGTGGGGGCTGGAAACTGAGTACAGACTGCCAGGCTTGGCAGCAGTACCTTTATCTGCTGCGCCAGCTCACCAGTCTGATGAAAGATTAATTTTAGAGATCGTTTGCAAATAGATTTATTTCTCTTCATCCTCAGATGCTCTCAGATTCCCTGTGCTCTAAACACGGAGGAAACACCCTGGTCAGACAGGAGGAACTCTCACACAGCGCAGCCTGTGCTGTGGGCTGTGGGCACTGGCATGGAGTAAGCTAAGACAGGGTCCCACCAACAGAATCCAGGA